AACATTGCTTTGTTGCAAAAGTGGGTTACTGTAGAGAAACTCCACTAAAAACTCGATATCTCTTCAGGAACATGTCAGATGCGCGAACTCTTTTTATAGTAGACGTAGTTCACTAATGTCTACTAGATGCATTAAGCCCAGGTTCGTAAATGAGCCCAACAACGTGTTTTTTTTTCTAGATTTTCTCCTAAGTGACATTTAATATTAAGAGCAAGAATCAATATGGCCTGTGAAAGAATAATCTTAGATTGTGATCCTGGTGTTGATGATTCAATTGCAATATTCTTAGCATTAGCTTCACCAGATAAAATAAAGATTGATGCTATTACAATTGTAATGGGTAATCACAATGATATTGATTTACTTACAAATAATGCATGTTTATTATTACAAATGTGTAATATGAGTTCAGACATTCCTGTAATTAAAGGTGTAAAGAAACCAATTGCTTGTGCTTATCATGGTCATTCAGGAATTAAAGTACATGCAGAAAATGGACTTGGAAATATACAACATCCAGTAAAAGACTTAAATCAAAATCCCATTGAAAAATACAAAGATTACAGTGCTGCACAATTTATTGTACAACATGTTCTTGCCAATCCAGGAGAAATAACAATATGTGCTATTGGTCCGTTAACAAATATTGCATTAGCTGTGTCAATTGGTGGTGAGAACTTTATTAAATCTGTTAAAAGACTAGTTATTATGGGTGGTTCTATCGGAGGACTTGGTAATAAAACAGCTGCAGCTGAAGCTAACTTGGCAAACGATCCACATGCAGGACGAATTGTATTTGATGCTTTCAATGATATAACAATGGTTGGATTAAATTGCACTCGTCAACTTCCATTAAGTCAAGAAATACGGGAAAAAATCAGAAAACTACATGCAATTGGGCAATTTTGTTTTGATATAACCACACATTATACAGAAATCTTAAGTTCATGGAATGATCCACCATGCTTCAATGATCCAACCGCGATAATGTATTTGATTAGACCAGATCTATTCGAAGGTCAACGTGCTTGTGTGGATGTCGAAGATAGTGGGAGATTAACTTCAGGTCAAACAGTTGCTGATTGGACTGGTCGCTGGGGAAGACCATTACAAACATTAGTTTTAATGAAAGTCGATAGAAATGGATTCGAGAAGGAACTTTTAGATCGATTAGCACGATTAACAATGTTCAAACCAAGCTCAGAAAATCAGCTGAAGAAAGCAGAGGAACAAATTGAACTTTCGGAAAAATAGATTTTTTTATCATTGTGTATTATGTTCATTCTATGAAAACTCAATCTAAGTTGTTTGTGAGGAAATCTATTACAAGAATAATATTGCTCATCAATAAATACTTATAAAATCAGGCAACAAAAATTGTTGTACGACCTTCATAATTCCTCGGATGTCGTCAAGCTCTCACAGATAGTACTGAAGATGATTCCTACGAGTGATATATTTGAAGGCGTTTCCAGCTTGGCAACAGCTCGTTCGAGCCTACTCTTGAATAGATAAGTTTTCCAATTCAAACAATATTATGATCTTGATTCTTTGTTAAAAAATGAGAACACTTACTTTAAACACACTTATCACAGCGCTCTCACCCTCATTCTGTGATGTGTGTAATTTACACTAATCAATATGAAGTATATTAAAAGTAAACATGCACCCGTGAAGAAAAAGTCGTGTACTTCTATTGAGTGTCATTTGTGTTTTGTGCAGTTTCGCTTTCTTGTTTGACTGAATTGTCCAAATCATTACAGCACAAAAATAGAAACTTATTTTTCCTCAATGCTCTATAATTAAATATACTTCGTTCTAGATTAGAATTGCTACCAATGCAGATAATTGTCCACATGATTCATCCTCACCGAATCTTCACGCACTGAGTTTCGTAGTCGTCATCATTCTTTCTCTTTGATACTTTCATCTATTCCTTATGTTATCGTATATAAAATCACTATACAGTGAACAGTGGAATCTGCAACATTTCTGTATTTTACTTGCAAAAGTCTATCAGGCAGAATAAGTCACAAAGTACAGCCATCTGTGTATCATTAATTCGAACAATTATCAACGTTGATTGTTTCGCATAATATAATTCATGCAAAATGATCTTTGTCAATTAGATACTGATATTGATTATCATTAAATAAATAATTTCGATCTACATGATTCGTGAACAATCCGATTTCTTTAGTTGCAATCTTTTTCGTCCTATTTTTCAGTTTAAATTCTGCATTTCGCTTGACTAGTCTTTTTTAAGTAAACAAGCAGCGTTATAAAACGAAATGATGAAAATCGATGAAGAAATATATAACGAATGTGTTTATTTCAAAAATAAGTCAAATATCAAACTCATCGGGAGCATGGCATCGTTTGTATTTATATTTACATGCTGGTTTTTGTGTATAATCACATGTAATTATGTAATTGGTACGATTTCGAAAAAATTAGCTCGAATCATGTTAACACTTCTTTTATGTATATTATTAATTTCAATTACTTGTCAAAATCATCCTCGATTCAATGCATTTTCAATATTAACTGTATCAGTATGTTGGTTAATGTCAATATGTTTAATGGCGTTGACATTGTTTCCAAGAGAAACATTTCAATCATTTTTATTAAAAATTCTTTGGATTTATTTTCTAATATTACCTAAACAAACAGTGAAAAATTCATGGCCTATAACATATTATATAATATTATGCCTGAGTAAAATATTGATAAATCATTGAATTTATCGATTGTCTAGGAGATGTGAAATCGGAGTTACTTATTCAAGAATTTTCATGTTTTATTTATCAACAATAACAATAACATATTTCCTTGATATTGAAATAATTCTGATTGAAATTGTAACTCGTAATAAATATTCACTTGAATCATTTACCAATTTTCCAATATTTAGTTTATTATTGCGAGAATTTTGAGGTCAAAGATATAATCGAATTCTTCATAGAATTTTTAAAGAATCAATTTTTGAACCGACTCGATTAGAATTTTCATCTTCGAATATTGGAGCAATGGCAACATTTATTATAAGTGGATGTGGGTGGATGTAGATTAGCTGTTCATCTAGTTCGGCTCACACTCATTCTGACACCCACACTTCAAGATATTGAGAAAGATGATATCAAACATTATTGCCTAGTTATTTTATACGTTTTATTAAAAAAAAATAACTTTTTGTTTTCATATTTGATTAACAACAAACTTGGGGCTCTTTTCTATATAATAGTGATGACCTCTAATGTAAAAACGAGTGAAGATAAGATCAATTTACATTCTCATATTTCAAAACACAGAAAAAATTTGCACGAGACCCTTTGCTTGCTTTTAATAACTGTATGCTGAAGCCTTTTTCTTTATCTTAAACAAATAAGCATCATGAATGAGTAAGACCTTCTAATTCATCAATCCATTTTATCGAAAGAAAGCAACTCAGAACGACATTTAATCGATAGACGCGTATGTAAGGAGAGACAAAGTGTAAATATAGAAGGCAATAGTCACCTGTGCGAAGAATATAACGATCATTTTGTAGCAAAGGAAGTTGCTTCGTGCATTATTAAACATATGTGCACACATATAAAAGAAAAAAGACACACAATATTACACTAGCAATCATATTTTGATAAGAAAGTTGACGATTAATATCACCAATAACGAAAGTAAGCAAATTCGAAAGTATTTAGTGAATTTGAAATGCTTCAGACGAAGACATTTGTTAAGAAGGTTTTCTCAGAACGATATTTTCTTACTTCATGTTTATTTTCAGTCAAATTTTTACCATTACGAGCTCTTTGGTTGTAATTTCTGTAATCGAAATTTTAGTCGTAAACATTGAATTCTTCTGATGTTATAGTGTTATCGATGGCTCGTAGAAAAAGTTTTGATTTTAGCTTGAAATAAGTCATATAGATTACTTACTGATTTTAAAACTATAGTTTATACATATTCGCACATTTTTTCTGGATAGAATTTTGAATCTTGTTCTTGTAATTTTCTAAAAGAAAATTAAATCATATCTTTAAAAAAAAATTCTACTGATCACACTAATTTCTACCGTTTTGACCCCATAAGTCAAATATTGAAAAAAAATTATTGGACAAAACTTGTTTCTGAGTGAATAATTGAACATTGAAAAAATAAACAGTTGTCTATTGATGTGCCTAAGAACTTAGTCAGATATTGATTGTGAAAAGTATGAATTTTATGTATGATGGGAGCAATGCATCAGATTTTTGGTGTATATATATTTAAACCGAAATTTAAACTAAAACTCGAATTTCACTAGAAAACACATCAAAACCTGTCGGAATTTATAAATTTTACATGTATTGTCATATGAAGACCGTACAACTATTTTGTTTTGAGAAAGGTGCAGTAGACTATACAAAAGGAAGTCCATATCTATTCTTTTTATCACTCAGAGAAGCTAGACAAAACCTTGATAAATTACAAAAAACTCACTTAAAATCTTCGAAATACTAGGCCGGTATTTCTAACTCTCTCATATGAATTTCAATAGAAATTCGAGCGGTCCCGACAGGGAACTAATCGCCGCTATATAATGGCAGATAGATATGCAGATATGAATACCACAGTAGTCGTCACATCACATCTCAAGAACAGAACATGCACAAAGAAAGCATGATAACCTTTCATCTTTACCTTGTTGATATAAAAGTATGCTTGGCACTCTTTTCTTTTTTGACTGTCTTTATAGAATCGTGGGCAAACAAGATTTGTTCCTCTTTTGTCACATCTTCATCTTTCTTGTATTTAGTAATTATCAATATTATTTGGCGTAACAGAACATGGCTGCTCCTACAACCATTACTTTTCAAGTGAGCAACACTATTGAACCTTGCACAACTCGACATGTTCAATCAAGAGACTTTTCATCGACAGATCTCGACCGATGGTCCAATAAATCAAACAGAAAAATCAAAGAAATACTATCTTTCGAAAATGGACAAACAAACTATCCAATGATCAAAGATCTGAATCACCGTGTGAAAAATGCTTTCGTAGCTACAGTTTTCAAAGCATATTGTGATCATTATCCACTTGAATTATCTGTCGAAGATTTTTGGGTCGCCATTGCACAAGGTGTTAGTATTCATTTGAACCAAAATGCTGAAAAATTTCGTCATCTTCTCGTCGAACATGAGGGCAAGAAGGAATTAATGTTAATTGTTGATCATCTTCGCATTCCAAAATCAGATCGACCTGCAAATGGAAATCAGTCAGTTCCAGCCATTAACTGGCCATTAGCTGTACGTGAAATGTGTGACTTGATTAAAAAAGATATGAAAGCTGACTTAACAACATTAATGACAAAACGATTCTCGAGTACTACTGATGTCGAAGGTGCTGTATTCGACTGTACTCTTATGGATACCGTCAAATCCTACTATTCCTATGGATTTGGATTGACCTGTGGAAGTGAGTATTATTTTTAATTTTACACTAAAGCTAATGAGTAGAGCTTGTTTTATTTTGTGAGAACATTACAATTTGCGATTGATGATTTTTGCAGACTAGAGTTGCATGTAAACTACTCGATTTTTCCTTCTATAAACATTTCCTATAAAATCAATATGACAAACTTCTTACTAGAAAATTACTAAACATTCTTTTTTCACAGCCAGATACTATGCTCTATCTGAAATCAATGCACAACAATGTAAACGATTCATTCTTTGTTTATTATATTTTATAGTTCCCCAAGTAACACTTCGTGGAACACCAGGTGATTTTCAAGAATTGATTGATCGAGTTCAACAATTGAAAATATTTTTCACCGATTTTCATTGGTGGTTTGATGCCTTGCTACCTCATATTAACAAGTTAAAGGAAAGTGCTGAAGGCAATGCTGATATCGATTGGTGGCAAAAGATTTGTCATCGAAACAACAATATGTCGGGTGTTGATCTTTTAATGGGATGGCTGGCAGACTTTATTCCAGTAAGTGTTTTATCTATATGTCTTTTAAAAAATAGAACATTTTTCTGAGCAAATAAAAAATTCAGAATGAGAACTTTACTCCATTGTGTGAAGACGCTTGAAATAGTTTTCCTTATCATTTGCATTTGCATTCTCATACGTGTTCAATGGCCGAAAAAATTATAACAAAATAAATGATATATCAGGATACATTAAAACGATAATCCTGCTATGAAGTCTAACAGATTTTTAGTTTTTTTGCAATAGTTCAAATCATATTATTAGTAAATCGTGCTTTTTTTTTTCATTGATATTTTCCTCTTGAATAATGAATACGTATAGGTCTTATAACCGAGAAATAATATTAACATTAGTAAAAAAAAATTAGGTACGTCATGACAAGAGTGAAATCTAACATTAATCCAAGCAGGAAAAAATTCCCAACTTACTTTCAGAATATCGATTCTACAGTAAAATGATCATCTATGTGTTTTTTTAAGGACTAAATTATGTCTCTTTTAGTACAAGTCAGACAAAAGTGGAGGCTATTGTAAAGCTCGTCGTGAGATTCATATGAGCGAACAGGTATGGATTTTTCTATGAGTCTGAACACAGATGAATTTATTTTTAACATACGAACTCTTCAAGAAAATATATTCTGGAATCGATTTTGGAGATCTAGAAGAAAGTATCACTCAAACAGATTTTGTCTTAAATGATAATGGATATGAGACGAAAATGAAACTGATTGCAGGCTTTCTTGGTATATCCCAGAATCCAGAAACAGGCGCACTACGTCCGTGCCTTGGTTGGATGACTGCTCTTCCCTCGGAGCAAGTAGTGCCTCAAGATTACATGATCACTTTCAAGGACAATACATCTCCATCGGAAATTCTCAGGTACTTTATTTTTGTTTTCTGACAAGTTTTAGCTTAATTGTGATTATAGAATCAAGGAAAAAATCACCAAGGAAGGTGGTTCAATCCGAAACGAGTTTACCATGGTTCAAATGCTCTTCGTTGTTATTTTCGACTGTTCAATTGAGTGGCTTGAAAAAGATGAACATATTAAAAACATTCATAAAAGCAATTAAATGAACTCTTTCATTCGAGAGACTCTTATAAACTTGTCTTTCTATACGATGGGTGTGATGGTAGATGCATGTAAAGAGTAGGATGTTGGCTGAAGATACAAATGTCGAGATGATACGGCAACTCGATCAAAGTATTCATCTTTTGTGCTTTTAATTGTAATCATCAATAAAAAAAAAATAATGAAATGATGACTCTTTTACTCGCTGGCAGAGCGTCGAATCGAATTGAATCAACTCTATGACAAAGATAACTTAACAAAGTAATGATATGTGGAGCTCTAAGATAACAAAAATTAGCTACGCATTAATATTTGCCATCTATGACATGTGACTGCATTCAGTATGTAAGAGTGTGAGTCACAAAGGACAGAAAAATGGGGTAAGGAGCAACTCGAAGTTGCCAAATGGCTTTTGAGTTAAGACTATGTGGATTATGTAAGCTCTAATAAACTGTGAACATCCTGGAAAAAGTTCGTGTTCCTAGCCTATTTCTGTCGAGATATTGAATTTTTATGGCATTTTTTAGCCAAAAACCATGGTCCCCATCAGGTTGATCTGAAAAATCAATTTTCGATTTTCGGTTTGGAACTTTGTACAGAGAACGGTCTCAATGAAACTAGTTTATTCTGATAGTTTTGGATCTAGTTGTGGGTTCTTCCTATCTCGAGATACGAGGTATGAGGAAAAAAATATTGTTTTTCACAATACTTACAGCATAAAATGTTAAATGTTCATATTTAAGGATAGAAGTATCCAAGAAAGTAAGAGATGCTTTTTCCATAGGCTATACCCATCCTGCTCATTTTTTTTTCGTTTCACTATTTTTTGTTGTTGGTAATGTGAAGATATAAAATCATCCAACGAGACCTTGAACACTATTGGTCTTAGCAAAACCTATTTCGAGGTTTTTTTATTGTCAATAGTTGCTTTTTATGTAAAATAAGTATGATATTTGAAATCAACATGAAAAAATACACTAGAAAGGATATGACTGTGTGGGTGTGGATGTAGCTCGTATCGATAGTGACACTCACACCCAATCAACCATAAAAGTCTGACACTTTTCATCATCAAGTTTTCAAAAATGCATGAAACAATAATCGTTAGCCAATTTCGAAATGTTTATTAAAATAAAAATATCATGCTTTTTAAGAATACAAATGAGATAAAAAAAAGAAAAATTTATGTTAAATTAAAAAACTTCTGAAGAATAGTTGTATTAATTTTTAAATTATTTGTCCATTGATTATTTTTCAAAATATTTTTTGTTATATAAGCACTCACTGTTAATGTTCCTAATATTGGACAATTATCTTCTGTATTAATTAATAATGATGATGATTTTAAATAAGGTGAATCAGTTTCAAATACAAATCTTCGTTGATTTGTATTATTTTCTAATTCATATAGTTCTCTTATTAATTTTTGTATATTTTTTTCATTTGTATGACAACACATACCACCAATACTTAATAAACTTGATGGAAAATAATTTAAAAATTCACGATAAATTAATTCACCTTTAGAATGACAACAATGCCATTGAATTTTCATTGATGAATCTAATGCATATTTTTTAAGAATATCAAATAATTGTTGATCTAATTGACGACAATGAATAATAAGTGGTAAATGAAATTCATTAGCTAATTTAATTTGTGATACAAATATTTCAGTTTGTAATGATAATTGTTCATTATTAAGTAAATCAAGACCACATTCACCAACAGCTATCATTGAACGTGTTTGTATAAGATTACGAAGATTAAGTAAATCATTATATGGATCATCATCTAAATAACGTGGATGAATACCATATGATTCATAAAGTCGAATCTTTAAAATAAAAACGAATAAATAAAGATTATAATAACTTAGAAAGAACAAAGTCTATGTTATATATTTGAAATATACTTTTGATTTAAGACATTCCGGTACTATGGAAAGAGTATTATTCCACATAGAAGATTTATGAATATTGGTAATACCAATAAATTGCTCGATATTTTTTAATGGTTCAATAGCACATGACCAATTTTCTTTAAGTAATCGATCATGAAAATGACCATCAGTAAGTTGAATAGATTCTGTAAGATGTAATTGATTACAATTCAAATTTTCACATGTTCCATTAAGTAAATTATCATCACATACACCTTTAATAATCGATGAAGATGTTGATCTTTACAATAAAAATTAAAAATTAATTGATAATCAATATTTATTTTTAAAAAAAAAACTGATTTTCTCTCAAAATATGTCAGAAACGATATTTAAAACATATATATATATATTACTTGATTTCAATATCAGTTTCTTGTACTGATGCTGTTGTTTCACTGTTATGTACTAATTGACGAGATTTCTTTTCCTTTTTACTCATCTGTAAATATAAAATCTTTTACTTTAGATTAATTTATACATAGAACATTTAATGACATCTACATTATAGAATGTTATGGTGAGACTTTATTTAGTTTATACCAACTGTCTTGCACCATAATATGATGACATTAAGCAATTTATGTTTCATCTCTGTTCCTTATGACTCATGAACGATACTTCTAACGAAATCGAAAAGCAATATAAATGATGATGATGATTAATCATCAAAGTGAAAACAAAATAATTGTAATACCATCAAATAATATTTCGAAAATAACCATTCGATTTCTTTTCTTTTCATCTAAAATAACGGGTGACCCAGGTATAATAGCCGCACTTTGCATATTAATTTTGTATTAAAAAATAAAATATGTCACAAGATGTAACGTGAACTAGGGTCTACTATTTTTGATGCTTCATGCATGTTAAATAATCACTAATCAAATTTTATATTGACACACATCGATTTCGTTGATAATAATCTCACAAAAAAATAGCTCTGATATTATCTTACACATACAGAGCGCGACAGACATTGCTCATATACGAATAAAAACCGTATATCAATAACATCTTGTTATCATATATGAACTACTATCTTATTAAAATTTAGAAGATTCTAAGTAAAATGATGATGAAGAAAAGTGTTCCATCATTGATAGAATAATATCTTTTGTCATATTATTTCTTTCTTAAAATTAATAATTTTTATAGTTTTTTTTTCATATTTTTATTAATATAATATTATTATCAATGATAAAAAATAAACAGATGCAGTTTAATTTATATTAAATGAATTACATAGACACACAAAATAATCCAAGAAAGATTATTGAATACTTGTTCGTTTTTTTTTTTTTGTTTTTAATAAAGAGAAAAACTACACAAGTAAGAAGATAAAAATAACAAAAAAAGAAAAAAACAAGCAAAAATCGTTCATTGTTTGATTGACTTCTCATGACTTGGAAAAAAAAGAAACACAATTACATATATACACATTTTTGATTATCAATTTTGTTAATTATCTTTTTTATCATTCTCAAATTTTGTTTGAATTTTTTCATATGTATCAATCATTCGTTGTCGAGTCATTTCAGTTAATCGTTGAAGATCATTTTCAATTGTCATACCTTTAGTATCAATTGGTTCAAGACATTTAATTGTAACATAACCTCGACGCCAAAAATAACTTTTCTTTTCTTTATTAGCATTATAAAGTGATTTATAAGATGAAAAAACAATGGGTACAATAGGAACTTGAGCTTCAATTGCAAGACGAAAAGCACCAAATTTAAATGGCAAAAATGTATCATTCATACTTCGTGTTCCTATTATCGAAACAAAAAAAAACAAAACAAACGATACACTTAATATTTTTGAATTTTAATGCATTATTTACCTTCAGGAAAGACCCATAATCTTAATGATTTATGTTGTACTTTCTTAGTTAAATTACGCATTGTTTCACTTGATCGTTCGCGACTGTTTCTATCAATATATTCAAGACCAGCTAACCATGCTGTAAAACCAAATGGTAAAGCCCAAAATAATTCTTTTTTTGCTAATATTGTACAATATCGAATATGTTCAG